GAGTATTATATTTCCACAATCTCTTATGAATAATTATAACACTATCGATTACATTGATGTGATCGATTTTAAAAGAAAAACAGTTAATTTCATGTAATTTTCTCTTACGACATATTTTTATATTTTTATGTAAGAACTTTTTTCTTTCATCAACAGTTTTTCCATTATTTTTATTATCTTTTTCAATTCAACAATATAATAAAATCTTATATAAAAAATTAGATGATATAATTTTTAATTTTAATTATTTACAAAATTAATTGCCCTTAATGAGAGAATAAAATTTGGAATATCAATATAAACCAAAATTATTCCTATCGAACAATCATTGTCAATCGATTACATATTGGTCATCAATGATCCAATTTTCTTTCTTCCATAAAGAAAGAGATACATGCTCTTACCCATCCGTCATTTATTTTCAGTCGCTCGACGAAGTCTGGATATGATTCGAGTTCGTGCTACGGATCCTAGGCCTTGTCCGAAGTGCGGAAAGATGTATCGTTCAGCACATACATTACGTACTCATTTGGAAGACAAACATACAGTCTGTCCAGGATATCGCTGTGTTTTATGCGGAACAGTGGCAAAGTCTCGGAATTCTCTACATTCACACATGTCGAGACAACATCGAGGCATCAGTACGAAAGATCTTCCAGTTATGCCGATGCCCAGTAAATTCGATCCAGAATTGGCATCCCGTTTATTAGCTAAGGCTGGAGTCAAGGTGAGTCCGGCTGAACTTCGCGCACGAGCTAGCCCAACAGCATCTCGAAGAAGCGACATGAGGTTGGAGCCGCCTCGTGTAGGTGCATCCGAAGTTGACAGCTGCGGTGGTGATGATCCCGAAGACCTTAGTCTTAGGTATAGTTCGCCACTTTCGAACACCGTCATTACTAAGGTAAGCGGCAACAGCAACAGTAGCAGCAATAGCAAGAATTCGACAACGATCATCCCCAAATCCTTGGATGTCATGCATGGTAATGGTGATCTCAACATGGCACCACTACCACATGGCAGTCATCATTCAGGCCATAATGCCACCAGTGCGATTGCTGGCTCGGCGATTTTGGACACCTATTTGCAGTTCATTGCAGAGAACTCTGGCCTATCGGCGATGGGACTTGGTCCTGAGCATGCGGCCGCCGTGCATGCACATGCCGCTAAGATGCGCATGAATTTGGAAAAGCACGGCAGTCGCAACTTGGAAGATTATCCTATCATCGGCAGAGACGAGGGTCGAGGCTCCGGAGTCGTTCATGAGGACAGACAGGAGTTTGACAGACACAGCGGACTTGTCGATGAAGCAGAATCGTCAGGTGCGGATGACGACGAATTTAGCGAGAATGAGGAACCAGAAGTGATAAAGGAATAATTCCTTCCTTTTAGAATAGCTAATGATTTTAAAGAGCATCTTCGAATTACTGACGAGTTTCTCGAGATGATCTGCAGATGATCGCGGCATAAACTGACGCTCGCGACAATTCTTGTTTGAATGAAGCAAGGGAAATAATATATGTGCTAAATCGTCCATCCGAAGAATCGACCAATGATTCTTGTTATTGCCTGCTCTATTACTGCGTGAAATAACTTGTGAAGTTTATTGGATGCCAGATATGTTTGAAAAGTTAAAAAGTCTCCAAAGCATTTTGACACAAACATAGAGATGGTGCGTGAACAAACTTGCTTGTTGGACTAGAGTCACTTAATTGCCATTACAGCAAATAAGCATATGTATATATGCAAAACTATGCATATGCAACACGCACATACACGTACATGCATACACACACACATACACACATATATATACATGTATACAGCGCGCGTGCGCGATGGAGCATCCACATATACGCCACAAATATTCCATCCATCTACCTCAGTGCACATAATAGATGATAGAACAGACTAACGAATCTCAGTAAATGAAGAGAAGATGAAGTACGCCGTTGGATAGCAGAACAACAATGATCGCAAGGTTTGATTGTTGCATGCTCTAAGATATCAAATATGATGACTAGGCAAGGCAATTTTGCTATTTAGTTCTCGAAAGTTTAAATGACTTAAAAATTTATGTGCGATAATTAACGTTTGATATTATGTTATTATTATTATAAATGTTGAACACACATTTTTATATCACTTAAATTTATAGAAACATTAGACTTTCAGACAACATTTAGCTATTTAGAAACTTTTTTATTTGGGTAATGTGCGTAGCGAATAGTATCATATCATATCTATCAGATGCACGCCCACATAATCGGAATACTTTGATATATGAATGCCACGTCATTCATATATGAATGACACTCAGTTTCATGAAAAATTCTCTAGAAAGTTAAATATATTTTCTTTTATAATTTATTATTTTTGTCCATTAAAAATAAAAATTATTATTATTAAATAATAAGACTTTTTACGAAAAATTGGACATTTGTGTATTTATTTTTATTTAAATGACTAGAGGAATTTTTAGAAACAAAAAATGTCATTCGTATATAATGTAATTCGTATGTTATGTTAATAACGTTTAATACATAACTCTCTTCTGCTCACTAAAAGAAATTGATGTGGATTGTAAAATATTCTTGTAATTGTGCAGGCGCGCGCGCATTTGAAACTATTATAGACTTTATTCACGATATGAGTACGATAATAATTGTGTTTTAGTCTTGCTCCAATTAAATATTCTTTAGTGAAATTTAAATATAATTATTCACATCATCAATTTGTTCAAATTCAGATATTGGATTTTTAAGATAAATATTTTAGCGGAACAATATCATGTTATATTCTCTATATAAGTACTATATTAATTCTCTTTAAGTACTATAAATATCAATAAATTACAGATTGTATGTACTTTTTGAAAGGTGCCTATTTACTTTAATTGCAATTTGCTACAAAAAGAAAATGAATTTTTTAATTTTATATACACCAAGTAAAATATTCTCTAATGCTCAAAAAAATTGAAGAATTTTGCAAAAGGCTGATAATTTTGCAACTTAATTAAAAATACTTATGTATTTCTTATGTATAAAAACATATCTGTATTAGACAACAAAATATGAAGACTAAATACTTAATTTATCAGATGAAACGGATAAATTTAAATAACGCTGAAACACAATCATAACTGAATTATTATATTTGTATTTATTTTGAATTGAAAAAAAAAACAGTAGAGCGAAACTGGATTACAATTAAATCGCCTCTATATCGATAGTGAATAAAGCATCTCGATTGTACATACACGCTTTTGATATTTAATTAATCTTTTGAATTGAAAAAAATAGTTGTTTTTTTTTGAGAAAATTTTTTTTATTGAATGTTAAATGTGAGTCCGAAGAGTAAAAAAAGTACTGAAAAAAATATGTCAATCATTTTGACATTTTTGTATAGACTACGTGCGTTGACCCATTTAATATTTGACTTAATTTTGACTAATTACAACTGGATTTGTTGCTTATATTCCGTTTTTCTTTTCAAATAACTTAAAAAAAAGACAAGAAAATGTGGAACATAGTTCCATTTTTAGTTTCTCTTTGACCTTACCTTTTCATCCTATCATTTCTTGCATGTAACATTTCTTTTGGGACAGGTATTTTAGGCTTGCCATGACGTAGTTAAGTAGTGATTTAAGTTTGTTGTTGACAGGAAAAAAATACGGTAGTTATCATATGTCAGTAATAAAATATTAGAAGTAAAATCGGCGCGGTTTTAGAGATTGTAAATTGCACTAATTATTAACGAACTAAAAGGCGATTAAACTTATTCCGCGATCTCGTGACGAGAGACTGCTACGTTTGGACGTAAATACGTTTAAACACACGGCTTCTCGAATAATGCAACGAATATATTATTATTCGTTGCTTGCGCAAACGTAATATTCTTAGCGCAACAGAGATTTCTTCTATTTTCGCGAGGCGTAGAGAAAAGTTAATTTAACGGAAGATTCGCCGCTGAAACGCGCACGACGCGATACGTCGTGAAATTGTTCCTACTAATATATATATATATATATATATATATATATATATATATATAAAATTCATAAGTTAATTTCATTGACAACACATTTCATAGATTCTACGTATATGATAATAATAGAAATACACGTATACGTATATATGTATTCTTAATATATGCGTATAAAAAAGTGGAGAGAAATTTAGCAATATGTAGCAGCGTGGCGCGGGTCAACCGCGATTGAGAAATGTTGAAAAACTGTTTTCTCACTTTAGAGGATAAACTATATGTCAAGTTTTTGATCGGTTTGACCAATTGAGCTATGATGCATCGGATATCTTGGTCCTTGGTGCGTGTTTTAATATGGGACTTTCTTGGAGATCTGCATGTATTTTTCGTAAAAAGAGAAATGCTAGTTGATCAATGATGGAGATTGTAACATGAGTTAAGCAGTTTGAAATTTCCATGAAAAATTGCTATAAAAGACCACGAATTTTATCTTAACATAAAATTCCGCGCGAGAAACTATGAGTTGATTAAAACCACAATATTTTTATGCGCTCTGAATTTTTCATGCAGAGAAACTATCGAGAAACTATGCGGTGCTCGCGTACCGCTATATTCGATAAAAACAATTAAAAAACATAAAAATTGAAAAGTCAAACAGAAGTTGTATAAAAAAATCAAATTACGTGAAAAGTCATAGAAGTTGTAAAAGACGAGTTGTTAAACAAGTCATGAAAAAAGTAAAATAGAGTTATCGCGTTTATTACAAATTAAATTGTTTGTAATAAAATTCATTAGCGTTAGTTATGGAAATAGTATAAACGTTGATTTACAGAATTGGATACAAACATTCTTTTAGTAATTGGTACTATAGGAACATATATGTGTGTGTGTGTGTGTGTGCGCGCGCGCGCGCGCGCGCGCGCGCGCGCGCGCGCGCGCGCGCGCGCGCGCGCGCGCGCGCGCGCGCGCGCGCGCGCGCGCGCGCGCGTGTGTGTGTGTGTGTGTATCCCTTGGATCTTGAATTCCATTGCGTTTCATGATTGTTAAAGTGAAAATTATTAATTGACATGCTTGTATTTTAATTTTGAATATATCTTAATTCACAAATTCTAGATGTCAAGTTCTGTTAAACATTGAAACAAGAAATTCAGCACTATTTCATTGCTATTATGCTAAGACTGAACTATTGGAGAAATGATTACATTTTTTTCTCTGTATAAAGTGTCTTGAGAGTTCAGATCAGATTCTGATCTGTAACCCAAAATAATAACGTTTTCAACTTATCAAGTAATTTTTAGTTTTCTACATTAAATTTAAAAGTACATTAAATTAAAAAAGTTATTGAAAAATGTAAATTTTTCCGTGATTCAATTCATGCTGGCGATGCTCATGAGCATCATTTGTCTTTGTTTAACATTTGACAAACAAGAATAAATCAGGGTTGCTACAGATCTGGAAAATTCGGAAAAAGGGGAAATTGATATTGGTCATGGAAAACCGGGAAAAATCAGGAAAAATGTAAAAAAGTCTGAAATTTCGAAATTTGCTCACAATTTCCTTAAACTGCTCCTATTCTAATTAATTGTTATAATTTTCTAATATTATATCTGACGTTTATGATGAATACATTCAAAATTTGTACACTTTAAACGATTTTAATAAAATAATTAAAATTTATATTTTATTCAATATTTTTATTTGATCGCTCTTTTTCGTAACTGCATTTTTTTTTCAATACTAATTTATTTTTTGTTGGCTTAAATTTTTTGCACCCAAAATTTTAGTATGCTACTAACAAAAGTCTTTTTTGCGTTATTTTTAATGATATAGGCTAGCTTTTCCTATAATTTTAAATGTGTTAAAATTTATATATTTTAAATTAGAAAGTTTTATATTTTTATCTTAGAAAACCTGGAAGTCAGGGAATTTTAAAATTTATTTTCTGTGGCAACTCTGATAAATGATTTTTAAGCATTGTGAGCATGAACTGGCCTTAGTCAAAGATAATAAAATGATATTTGAAATCACAGGAATTTGGTAATTCTCTGTCTTTTATTATGTGGAACATTTTATTTTGAACTCTTAATGGAATAAGTATTTATTGTTATAAAAAACAATGATCGCGTCAGAACTAGTGCCTATTCATGCTGGATGCCCAAATTAGCTCAATTGGACTGTTAATAATAAATTTAATTTAATATGTTAATCCTAAAGAATAAGTATGCATTTTTTTTTATTAGCACAATTTTATTCTGAAGGTATATGTTGAACTCAACAGGAGGTTGTCATAATGTATTAAACCTACTCAATATTTTTTAATTGATCCTACACCTCATGTTTTAATTAATTAATAAGAAATTATGAGAGAAAAGATTATGAAAAAGAGAAATTTTATGAGAAATTTGTTCAACAAATGTGAGGTTCTATATACAGCGCACAGTAAAGCAAAATCTAAAAAGTTGGCCTAAATTTAGAAAAATATTCCTAATTTTTGTCTTGTATTTACTTTCTTAGTTTTTGTAAACAATCATAAATTATAAATAACAATAAATAAAAGGCAAAGAGTCAACATCGTAAATTATATTAACTTAATTGTAGTATTAATTATTATAATTAGTTATTTACGTGTATTTCTGTATAAAATGGTTAGTGCCATTTTATATTGGTCATTATAAATTCTAAATCAAATAGAATCCAAAAGCCAGGCAAGTGAGATTCAGCATTTTATTTATTACATATAATGTAACAGTCTTATTTCTTTCGAACTATGATTAACATGCGTCTAATAAGATTTGATACTAGTTTTAAGAAATTTAAATTATTAACTGATTTTTTTTTATCCAATGTTAAGACAAATTCTTTTTTTGTTCTGAGTCAGTTACCGTTTTTTTATAATAAAATTTTTTAATTTGGTTTGTTTGACTTGATTATAAAATACATTAATTTTTTGATAGATTGTACAACATTAAATCTGTAACATTTAAAATTTAATTGAAT